GAGAGAGAGAGAGAGAGAGAGAGAGAGAGAGAGAGAGAGAGAGAAATCTGAGACATCTTTCCTCAACCCAAGGCCACAAACATTTAGAGCTTTTGATAATTTGATAATTGATTAAGGTCTATTATCTACTGCAGTTAATTTTGGTATATGGTGTGGTTCGAGGTTCATTCTTTCATGTATGAATATCAAATTGACTAGTAGAGTCTTTGCCCTAAAAGAATGACTATCAGGCCAGCAAGTTAGCTCAGTAGGTGAAATGTTTGCCATGGAAGCCTGAGGACCTGAGTGCAATCTCTTAAGCCTATAGTAGGAGAAAATCTACTCACAAAACTCGTCCTCTGACCCCAATGCATGTGCTGTGGTATGCATGCTTGAGTGTGCGTGCACACACACACACACACACACACACACTAACAACAACAACAATAATAATAATAGTATAAGAATGAATGTCCTAAGGTTTGCTTGTCTGGTACATAGACAACACTTCGTATCACTCTGTTGGATCCTCAGATAAAATATTCCTTATCCCCACCACAAGCACTGAGAGACTATCTTCTGGGGCAGACCTGTCAATTCATCTCTGGGACTTCCCAGCATAAAACTTACCGAAGCCATTTAATATTTAAACTCACTGCTTTTGAAGCAGGGTGAGCTCCGAGCTCCCTCTTTTGAAGGCTTGTTTCTGGCAGGTCAGATGGAGACCCTTGCTAAGGAGCCTAAAACTCTCTTCATGAGCCCCACAAGCAAGAATTCCCAAGCTGGGCAGCTCTGCCACTCAAAATAGAAACGACTGTGCACTGCCTCTGCATACAGAAATCTCTCTCTCTTTTGTTCCCAGTTTAAGAATTTGTGGTGGCCTTGAACTTTCTGCCTGCGTGGTCATCACCACACAGCCTTTCTTATTCAGCAAGCTTTCTGGGGCTGCAGATTTACGTTGTGACCCTGGCTGGAAGAAAGGCTCATTCCTAAGGATTCACCTGGGTGCTCATGAGAGGGGAGTACACTGTTTCCAGGAGACATTATGTTGTATTTTCTCTAATGTGGGCTCTCACCATGGTTTGCATAGGCAAGAAAAATTGCAAGAGAGAGTGGTTTGTTAAAAACTTTTCAGGGCATACAGAGAAAAGGTCAATTTTGGGAGGTACCAATTTCCTCCTTTGTCCACAGATGTGAACTGGGGTTCCTCCACACAGGCTCTTTCCTATGTGAGTGCCTTAGACAATGCTCTGGAACTAACCACAGTGGAAGACCATGTGAAAAATTTCAGGTAAAGTTGGCTTTCGGGGGTCCCCTGGTATGCCACATTACAAGTGGCTTTCCTTCAGAGGAGCCAAATTCACCAGAGTGGCTGCAAGGACCTTTGTGGGCCCATTTCAAACATGAATAGCCACGCTACCGTATTTCACGAGGGCAGAAGGCCCGCTTTCTTGGATATAATTCATGCTGTTACCAAGAACAGAAATGAACAGGGTTTCCCTTCTGTTTTGAGCTCTGTCCACCCAGAGTCACAGCTCCTCACACTGCTGAGTCTTTTTCCATGCCTGGGGACAGAAAGACCTGAAGGATGTGACTTCAGAGGAATATCCGCCAGAGGGATTGGTTTTATTTGCTTTCAATCTGAGGCTTTATGATTTAATGAATTCCCTTAGGAGAAGTAGCAATTTTAGGTCTTCATTAGTTATATATTATAATGGTGCTTCACAACACAGACTAGCAAGGAAGATAAATAAAATACTGATGAGAGAGGGAAAGCTGGAGTGGAGACTTGGGGTGATGTAGTGCCCAAAAAAGAAAGGCAAGGGGAGCCCGAGACTATCCTTTCCCTACTTCATTCTTTTGCTGTGATTAATTATATGAAACTATTAAGATGTCAAGATAGTTCAAGAATTCTGGTGGGAAATCTAGGAAATGATTAAGGAAGTGGTTGTTCCATTTTTCCAAGTTTTCTTATTTTTCTTAACTTTCTCTTCTTTCCTTTGAGGGGCTCTGGGCTCACATGCTTCTTGCATTGGTCAGTTCTCATGTCTTCTTTACTTTCAGACCCCAGTGCATTGTCTTAACGGGGGGACCCATGGCAAGACCTGCTCTCTTGGATATAACCCATGCCTTTACCAAGAACAGCGGCCTCTGTATCTGCTGCGAAGTCTTCGTGGTAAGAGTTGCATCACCCAAGGGAAGTGTTCACCCAAGGGAAGTGCTCACCCAAGGGAAGCACTCACCCAAGGGAAGCGCTCACCCAAGGGAAGTGCTCACCCAAGGGAAGTGCTCACCCAAGGGAAGTGCTCACCCAAGGAAAGTGCTCACACAAAGGAAGTGCTCACCCAAGGGAACTGTTCACCCAAGGGAAGTGATCACCCAAGGGAAGTGATCACTCAAGAGAAGGGAAGTACTCACCCAAAAGAACTGTTCACCCCATGGAAGTGCTCACCTTGGGCTATTTTAGGTACCACAGAAGATACCAACAATAGGAAATCGACAGAATAGCTTGAACAAGAGTTCTCCTCCTTGATTCAGGACTAGCAGAAAAAGTAATCATGAATTTAAATGGATAGATGAAATTATTTCTGATTTCTTAGGAGGCCAACTAAAAGTGGTAAGTATTTTTAAGCAATGGCTTTTGAGTCAAGAAGAACTGAACTGTCTCAGAGATAAAATGAAGGCATCTGGGTTAATAACTGTTTAAATCAAAAGAGTGGGAAGGACTAGACCAGAATACTCACTAGTCTACAGAAGCCAGCGAGAAGGAACCAGACATAACGGCCTTAAATAGCCACCCATGGAATGTAGATTAAATGTCTGGATAATTGTGATGACACTACATATACCTGGGGAATTAAGCTAAGCTTTCTGTGACTTTGACAGAGTTAAGAGACTTCCCTGCTGTTCAGGGATGTGTGCAGGATTGACAAGTGACTGGAGGTTTTCAGAGTAGATGCTAAAAAGTCAACAGTAATTATTTACCAATTCTCCAAATGGAGAGAAAGCATTGAAATTAGAATAAAAAAATACATCTAAATCCTCCATACTATCCTACCTCTGCGTGTACTCTCATTTCTCTCTCTCTCCTCTCCCTCTGTCCCATGCTCTCTCTGTGTCTCTCTCAGTTTAAATCTTTATCAATACATGTTTACACAACTACATACTTACATATTCTTCAAAGCATTTTCCCATTTTCTTACTTGATCTGCAAGCATGTAAGACACAGAAAACCCAGAAACTCTTATTTCTATTTTACTAACTGCGAAAATGAGACAGGAAAATTAAATCATGTACTGGGCCACCCTGACAAGAAAATGGCAATTGGGATGTCAGTGGAGGCCTCCCAGGGTGCCTCTTATTAGGCCAAGAAGACTGCTTGATCCCTGGGAGAGCTGTCACAATCAAAGACCACTATTTACACTTTTTCAGGATCTGCCAAGGAACGAGGGTGAGGAAGTTGAGACCAGAGGCAGACAACTCTACAATGATGCAGTGAACTAATTCACCATATTGCATCCTGAGAAACACTCAAACATCTTTTAAACTTAGCAATATCCTAAATGCTATGAAAGTTGGCCACATTCTCTTTCCTTTCTGTGTTTAGACGACAGTAACTCAAACAATATTACTAAATACAATTATCCAGTAGGGGGTGGAGAGAGCTACTGAATAGGGAAGATTGACAGGTTAAGTTATGGCCAACTGTGACTCCAGAGAATTTGTTAAAAACTTATCAAGAGCTTTTCTCTCTTATTATCAACTTTAGTGCCCTGGATTAGTGGATTTCATTTTGACCAATATAATATAGGAACCGGTTTTGATGGAATAAGCAGTTTGGAGTGTTTTTCTTCTCTAGCAATTTAGAGAAAATTTGGTTTAGCAAGCAATAAAATATCTTCAGGACTGAAGAAATGAACAAGAAATATCAACAGTCATATATTGGCAAGGGAGAAAAGGTCTTCCATAGAGACAAGAAACCCTGCTTTTAATTAACCCTTTGATTCTCTAACTGCAAAAAGGACTACGGTCCTAGTAGACTTTTTCATGTGAAGTAAATATGTGATCTGGTACTTTCACACATATGCTGGGCAACACTTCACATTACTGTGCTGATGTCTCCATGAAAGACCCATGAATCCTACTCCCCCATGCTGAAATTCTCTTGGGAACAGAAAACAGTTACTGCATCAATTAAAGACGTCCCGGTTAGTTACTTCTTGTGAACTCCTGAGGCTATGGATGCTGTCAGAATTTTTAGATGAAAGCTCAGCTGTCAATCATCTTTCCAAGGTAACAGATGGAAAGGGATGCAGGGGAGGCAGCCTACCACTGGAATTTTATTTCCCCAAAGTATACTGATGATAGTTAAGCCAGCCTTATGTAAATGTTAAGTAGCAATGATGGAAAGGGAACTACAATTTTGTTCTCAACTCTAAGAAGCTGGTTCCCCTGGGTTGCCGAAACTAACAGTCAAGTTCGGAATCACTGTTTTGGCACTTACTAGCTTTGATTCTCTTACGCATATAGTTTAGTCTCTCTGAATGGGAAAAAAAATTACCTGTTTTAGGGTCATTGTGAGAATTATACCTGCTTTCAAGCACTATTTTGTGTCTGTCAAATAGTGAATACTGAATTAACTTTATTTGTTGTTATTGGTAATGTTATTGATGTTATTACTGGGGGAATATGATAGTTGCTATTTTCATTCCAGAAATATGCGGTCTTCAACAAAACACAGATACCTTCAAGTCCAGACGGTGGATTTGCCAGACCCCTATTCACCTAACTCATATTCAGCCATTGAAGCTCCCCCCTTCTCCCCCTCCCTCCCCTTATCTTTTTCTTATTCAGCCTCAAAATTTCAGATAAGAGACACTAAACTCTTCATGTCAGTGAGCCTCTATCAAGATGTTAATACAATACTGACACGATAAAATATAGGAAGAATGAAATGACCTAAGAATGGGCACTAGAGTATATGGTGAGATGGTTCATGGCCCAAATCAGAAAAAGGGAGAAATTGGCCTTCTGGTAGTTCCAACCAGAGAAGCAAAGAAAGCAGTCAGGAGACTCTCAACATAAAGACACATAAGTTAATATATAAATACACACATTTTTCAAAGTTCCATTGTTCAAATTGAGGAATTAATTCATGTGCTCATGTTTGGGAATGCTGACTGAAGTTAATCTCAGTAATACATTACTTGGATGGTAAAACCCATTTTTGTGATAATGGCATGTTTGAATACTGGTTAATTATGTCCCAGGATATCTCCCTTCTTGTTAGTTGGCTTTAGCCTTCTTACATTTGCATTATAGTCTAGCTTCATATTAATAAGTATGCTACAAGGACATCATAATCCCCTTTAGCCAAAAGAGATTCTGTATGAAATATTTTTATGACTTTTCAGTATGGCAAATTCAGTCATTAAAATAAATCTCTCTGTCACAATTAATGTTTAATCCAGATCTTTGTAATACTAACAGACATATGTTAGACTATATTTCTTTAAGTAAGCGCCATTTTCCCCAGGAGCTTACAATCATTGCAGCTTGAACTCTGATGGTCTAAAATCTTTCTCAGCTGTTGGTTGTTCTTCTATCTGATGGTTGTCATCAACATTAAATGACCTTCAACACAATATTCTTTCCTCCTCTTATAGTGGGTAAAGCCTTGAATGCCCAAGGAAGTGCTGGTAGTTTAAAATGCACTGACATTATGGAGCCCTGAGTGAAACTTCCCCCATAATAGCATATCTTACTTAGGTCCCGGTCTTCTGGTTCAATAACCATCCTCCTGATGTTTCTACCTTTTCTATCTTCGTTGAAGGGTCTTGCTTTTTGACTAATGTAAGATGATTAAATTGTTCAGAATATTGATAACTTCTAGAACATATGCTGGCAAACAGCTAACTATACAAAGAAATTAATTCAATTTAAATAGAATAATAAAAAGGGAGGGCCCTCAAAGCTCAGCTAGTGCTGTATGATAGAAATATAATATGTGCTGCATGTATAATTCAAAATCTTCTAGTTGTCAATTAAAAAGACAAAAAGATAGGTCAAGTTATTTTTAACAATTTCATTTGTTTAACTCAACTATGTCTAAAACGTTATTTCAGTGTGCAACCAGCATAAATGCTAATGAGATTGATTTTACATATATTTGTGTACTAAGACGTCCAGGATATCTCATATGAACTACATTTCAAATGCTCTATGGCAACCTGTGGAGAAGAGCTGTTATGCTGGGCAGTGATGACCCAGAAACTGCCTTATTTGTATAAATGTATTTGCCCTCGAGAAAGGACACCAGTAGTATCAGTGAATCAGTCCAGAGCCACATTTAAACCCAGCACTCTGACTCCCAACTCAGTGACAGTCCAGCAGCACCAGCACAAACACAACATAGAATTCGGCCTGGGATTTCAGTGAAATTATGAACCTCCATTTACAGTGATAGAAGTCATCCAAACCAAATACAAATCCCTCTGTAGACTGGAGACAGTGGGTGGTTCATCTGTCCTGTCAAACTCAGAGGCAGTAATCAGAAACACCTCTTGAACTGCATTAAGACATGAGAAGAAGAGAACTAACTTGGACCTTTATGGAAGAAGAATTATTAGTTAGATGTTGGTTTTCAGAAGTAAACCTTGAGATTACAAGATGCTTCACCACCACCATGGCTGCCTCCCCTTCTCTTAGCTGGTCTCACTCCTCTTACATCATTGACACGTGATCTTTTGTTCCCACCAAAGTCAATGAATGAGGAGGAAGTGTTAACTTGCCCAATCATTGATGTATCAATGCAGAGAAAGAATGGTATGAAGGAATTCTTACTACACCAAGAAGCAGGGCTTAGGTCCGATAGGACTGTCAGTGTGTGTGACTTGGGGCAGAACTGGCAGTTCATCATGTGCTGGTTCCCAAGAGCTCTGTCTGTTTCTTGAAAACAGGATCTAACTGAGATTTCTTTGAGGTTCATAAACATGGCTCTCACTGTTGAATCACAGGTTGATTGTGAATTCATCCTGAGCCTCTTCAATCACATTCTGAGTGTTTTCCCTGTGTGCCACCACGCCCTCGGCCTTTCTTTCCATTCTGTATACAAGGCAGTTGTTTAAGTAGGTGTTATTAAGCCTGGATTTGGGGTTAAAAAAATGAATCATGTGAGCAGCATAGGTCCTCTCCAAGGTTCTGGGCAAACCCCATTTAAAGAGGTACTTTTCCCTCAATCCCGTCTCTTCATTCAATGACGCTTAACTGGCTGGTTTTGTCACTTAGAAGACAAAAGTAGTGTGATGCATAACAGCGAGACTTCTAACTCATATTTCATTGCCTCATACAGGGACCTCGCAAGCTGTGTGTGAAGGAGATGAACGGCGGCATGGCTAAAAAACAGGCCTGGCTTATAAAGAACAAAATCAAAGCTTTTTATGCTGCAGTAGCAGCAGACTGCTTCAGAGATGGTGTCCGGAGTCTCCTTCAGGTAAGGCAGGCACTGAGGGAGGGAGCCCAGAGGCAGAAGAAGTGTCCAGTGGATGAAGCTCCTCAAACCAATGGCTGGAGTTAGGCCACTCACCAGGGAAGCATCAGAGATCAAGACAGGTGGTCAGGGAATGCATTTCAAATTCCTTGGGATAGGCAAAAGCCGAGGTTCTGTTCCATTGAACTAGGAACGATCCACTGGAAACAGAAAATGAGTCTGCCTTTGGCTACCAGCACCGTTCTGCCCCCACACTCATTGAAATGCAAATTTGTTCTGGTGTGTGAGGACATTCAGGATCCTATTAAAACTTCAAACTCTTTGCGTCTTGTACAGCAGGTAGCAGTGGTCCAGGCAGTCGCTCTTTCTCTTTTTTCTTTTGCAAATGACGGGTGGGCAGCTGCTAGAGTCCACTAATAAATGCATGTGGATCGGGGCGGAAAATCTCTCTAGCCTTGGGAATTATTTCCAGAACATTAAATAAATGTGATCATCTCTACAGCTCCATGCTGGAGTCTGCAGTTTTCTGTCTCTCTCGTTCTTTCCTTTGCCCTTCCTTTTCTACTTCCACAGTGATGGCAGAAACTTGTTCCCCAGTTCTCATCTCTGTAAAAGTACGAAAAAGAATAAGTTAAAACCATCCAAGAGACCCCCTGAATATAGCACTTGTGTTATTTCAAAATATTAACCCAGAGACCACAAACATGTTAGATGGCACACAGAGGGAGGCAACCAGTAGTCATTTGGCTCTGAACCTGCAGCGTTCCAACCTCTCCACATCCTGGATTCAGTGGATCAGCCTTTGCAGTCACACCCTCTTTCCAGGAATTCTACAATAATAGCCTGTCTGGCAAGATACCCCACTTGTGTTACGGTGGCATGACAGGGAGATAACTAACCACTTTTTGATTAGATGCGAGGCCTGCTCCACAGAAGGGAACTCATGACTTTTAACACAAACCTGGTCTAGAGCCTGTGAGTAGGGAGGTCATAGATCCTAGAGAGGAGACTTCTGTTCTTCTTTTACTAGACACGATGTTTATAGTCATGGATTAGTGCTGGTCCCACCTTCGTCGGAGAAGCTTCTCTTTGCAATGAGTGTTACTCAGTGTTGAGACTCACCACTAGTCAGGGTATGAAGAATAAATGATTGTGGAGTACTAGGCCCTAAGGGGTTATCAACATCATCCCCTCCAAGGCTCAGGAACATCACAGAAGAGGAGGACAAAGAACGTAAGGGTCAGGGCTGGGGCTGCCCCAAGACAGTCAGTGTCTTCTGGACATGACACGGCATCACACCCATGAACTCACTACAACTGTGGTTACCTGCACAAGACCTATACAAAACTGGACCTGTAACCATTTCATCATGCGTAGGGGAGGGGACTCACGAGGCCTCACCCCTTACAGAGGGACTATGAGCTGGGGGAGGGATGTCATTTTCTTCAGTGGTATATCCACGGATAAGTTGACTATGTACCAGCTAATAACCCACATATATCCATGGCCGTGCAGCTGAGCACAGTTAAACTCAGTGGGCTAAGAAGAAGGCCATCAAAATAGGTGGTTTCTTGTTAGGGAAAAAGGCTTCGGCAGGAGGCAAGGAGTGGAGAGGGAGTGAGGAGGCATGAAAAAGCCCAGGATTCAGCAGAGACATGAATAAATTTGTCTAATTCTTTTTAAGATAATAAAAGAGTCGTGAAAAAAGAAAGTAAAGAAATATACAAATAAATGTAAAAAAAATTGAACAAACAGATTCACATGATGCATATATCAAGTATGTGGACGGTCAAGCTCATGCTAGTCATCTCTGATTGTGCCTATGTCCTTCTACTCATGACTGTGTCCTCTAGAATGGCTGGTGCTGGCCATTTCCTTAGCATCTTCATGACCCAGGTGACCTTCCTTCACTAGCAGCTCTCTTTATCTTTACCTGTCAATGTCCAGTTAAACTTGAAGAATCAGAATAAATAAATGCCACTTCTCCGTGAAGCTGTGAGCCGTCCGCTGGAGAACAAGTCTCCCTAGTGCCTCCTCTGCTATGTTTATTCTTGTGTTGCACCTGCTCGTGTATATCTTGTCTCCTCCACATTATCCCAAGCTCCTATCGCAAGTGCCTCAGACGTCACTTTGCAATTAGTACGGACTTGGTAATATTACCACATTAAATCTGATTAACTAGAAGCCATATCCTGTCATCTAAAAAATGACTGAAACTTTTTGTATGAAATAGAGTTGCTAAGGACACGCACTATCATGCAAGAGCATTCTGTTAGGGAAGCAGAGCTCAGTCATTCTTCAGCAAATAATATAAGGAAGTTTTCAATGGTCCTGGTATACAGAGATCTCCAAAACATGGATTTTATTGTTGATGGCATTTTGGACATCACAGGTGGAAATGAGTTCTGAACCTCTAAGTTATAACATGCACATTGACAGTTAAGCCAACCCTTACTTGATTTTAAATTATTGAACCATTTTAATGAGTGTGTCAGAAGTAATGCAAATGACTGCTAATTTAGCAAAGCTACATTCCTGTCATCTAAAATCCATTTATGGCTGAGATGATTTAGAACTGATCTTCCTATTTTATGCTTGGGTACGGGCATGAAGGACATACATTAAGATGTAATCTAATCTTCAGAACATTACTTTAGTGCTCTTTGACATCATTTTTCATTTGCAGTAGTATTTTACCGGCATGGTGAGGATTGCTCATGTGTTTATGTCCTCTGTTTAGGCCTCAGGCTTGGGGAGAATGAAGCCAAACACTCTAGTGATTGGATATAAAAAAAACTGGAGGAAAGCTCCCTTGTCAGAGATTGAGAACTACGTGGGAATCATCCAGTAAGTGATGGCTTTCAGGACGAGCCCTTGTTTATAATGTACTAACAAGGGCAGCCTACAACCTATATGCACAAAGCTCTCTTACATCAGATTCAGTTGCTGGAGAAGGACACATTCTCCTGCTCCTGTAAATTCTTTACCAAAGTGGTAAAATAAAACCCCACACCACCAATAAGAAGTGGAAGGAGGAGTTGGAGTATCAGAGGAGGTGGGGTGGGGTGATATTGGAGTCAAGAAAAGGCAAATGTTAAGGTATATAGGTCACCCAGGTATATAATGTAAGACATAACCTAAAAGTCCATTTACTCGATTGAAGGCAAAGGACAGGTAGATGCGGAGGAAATTCTCTCTGAAAACTTTTGGAATCCTGCATTGACTGTAATGCCAACAAACTGGGTGGAGAAAGAAACACAAACAGAGATAAGATATAGTCTTATATATCTATCTTATATAACATATAAGATATAAGAACTGTGTACATGCCCACAGTCTGGTATTTGATGTAGTATTCCTGTGATCAGCCTCCCCATCATCCCAAACATTCAATTCCAAGGATCAAAATGATTGAGCTTAGTTACATCAAACTGAGGAAGGCCCTGGCTTTTATAACACATTAGCAATTGGTCTTCTTGGTAGTCAAATTCAATATTAACTAAGGTGATCCAAGCTTGCACTAGTATAAAATTGAATAATTCCACCACCAAAGAGAAAGCAGGAGGAAGGGAGCCACCCACTGTTGAGGCTGGGCTACAGTTACAATCATATAGTGTCTTCTTACCAGACTCCTTTGAGTAAAAGGTTTTAAATGTCTGTACCACAAGTATGGTTGATTTCCCTTAAAATCTGTTTTACTTTTGATGGCAACTTAGACATCTAACACATATCTTATTGTGCCCAAATCAAAGTGGACAGGCTAGATTGTCCATAAAGGCTCTACTATAAAGACCTACCTTGCCTTTCTAGCTCCTAGAAGCTCCCCATGAGTGGATGTGGCTGGTGACCCTCTTTCTCCATCTCCAATCCAGCAACAGCTGCATCACACAGACCTCTTCTGTCTCTCAACTTCGTTTTCAAGCCCCCTTGTCACTATATCTGGCCCAGGCAGATGTTGTAGGAAACGCTCCCCACCTCAAAGCTCTTGACCTAGTCATATATGCAAAGTCCCTTTTGTCTTGTGAGGAAATATATTCATGGGTTTGGGGAATTAAGATGTCCTTTAAAGCCCATCAATCTTCCCATAAAAGAATCAATATCTTTTTTTGTGAAACTAATTGTCTAGTTTTTCATAATCAAGTTTAAATAGAAATAAGATTTGTTTATATAGAGTTCTGTGTCAGAATACACCTATTTTGCAAAGTGAAGATGATTTACATTTTGAATTTTGAGTGGAACTTCTTCATATCATTCTGTGAAAGTTCAGGTTGACTTCTTATTGGAAGCTTGTTGCTTATGGTGGACCATCACAGACTACATCAATGATACTGTGGAGGGTGGCCTGATCAGTCAATCACAGACTACAGTGATGCTGCAGAGGGTGGCCTGACCATAAAGAATTCTGGGTCTCAATTCTGCAGATGAGCCAACAAGGGAACTTCCAGAGGGAAACACTTAGTTAACACAAATAAGTGATAGGCTTGCTTTCAGATTTATAATGTGTACAACAGGAGCTGAGATTAACCAAAGAGCTTCTCCTTCTCATCTATAGCCAAATCTCCTTAGGCTGAGGCAGAGAAGGCATTAGAGCCTCTGCAAGTACACAGGATTTCCAGGGGAAAGCACTGCTCTGTGCAGTGCCTGTAACAAAAGTTCCTAGAAGAAACTGGAAACCGTTCTGTTTGCTTGTTGATAGGGTTTCAACAGTGCAGGCCTGGCTGTCTGGAAGTCACTATGTAGAGCACATTGACCTCAAACTCAGAGACCCACCTGCTTGTGCCTCCCAACTGCTGTACTGCAGATGTTTAAAACCATGAACTTGGTGTCCATTGTCACTGGAGATGTCTTCCCAGTGGCAGAGAAGGAAGGCTGATAATTTCAATTTTTGCAATCTATAAATGTTTCATTCTAAATATATCAGATTGTTTTGATCTAATAATAGATTAATTAAAGTATGTAGAGAGCACCTATACAAAAATATTTAGCTGGTGCAACTATTAGAACAAATCAGCTTCATAGTGAATCATCCATTTACCTCTACCCAGAATTTACTTTTAAAGGCACAAAGGAAGAAAAAACAAATCCCAAGAGGACACCAGCTCTTAGTTGTATTCTAAAGTGAATTTTAATGCTTCATGATATCAAAATACTAGAGACAAGTTTACTATTTTCCCCTGTGTGAAGGTTAAAGAAAACTCTGGAAACACTTAATGGGTTGCTTCCCCTTTCAGTGACGCCTTTGACTTTGAGATCGGTGTGGTGATCGTCAGAATCAGCCAGGGGTTTGACATTTCTCCAGTTCTCCAGGTACAAGGTAAGTATTGTCCTTATCCACTCAACAGATGGTGAATTGTTCTAGGTGGTGGGCTCAGAACAGTGCTCAGCGTGGACAAACTGATTCTCCCTCAGTGTATATGTACACTCCACATGTGCTTTCCCATGGCTAACACAAGTGGTCTTTGTCCCGGTAATTAGAGCTGTACACTAACTCAGGGGAGCCAATGATTTTTCTTATTGTAATACCACAAAGCCAACACTGAGGTAAATGAACACCTTCAGTAAAGTAGCCTGCCAAATTAATTTCTACAAGATGTTTCAGAAAATGAAGAACTTTCCCCCAAGGAGAAGCATGTATTTTACTTTCAGGTGACAGAGAACTGGTTTGTAGCTGACATGGAAATGAACTTGAATGAGTCATGTCTGTGAACCACTAAGTAACACACAGGCAGAGACACTTATTCTGATCAGTACCTGTTGCTTCACTATACAGAATTTGGTAGAGTTGTTTAGTCTTTGAATTTAAACATATCCTCTTGGTATAGGAAGTAAGGAGAGCCAATGAGAAGAGTTTCTGAAAGATTTGGAGAGAACACAAGTCATTCTCTTCAGCTGAGCTTCTTTACTGAGTCCTCTAATGACATTAAGACAAGGGAATATTTTGGGATGCCTATTGTATAGCATGCAGAGTGCAGGTGAAGATATTGGTATTAATGATAATATTATATTAATAAGCCTGATTTCTACACTTAAGAAACTGGCACTATAGTAGGGAAATGGATATTAGTGTGATCATTGTGTATGAATAAGAAATTATGGTAAAGAAGGAGCATCTAATTCCAAAGAAGCTTTCTGGAAGAAATATGGTTCGAAGTTAGGGTGGTTTGAAAGAAAATGGCCACCAAAGGGAGTGGCATTATTAGAAGGTGTGGCCTTGTTGGAGGAAGTGTGTCACTGTGGGGGCAGGCTTTGAGGTCTCTTTTACTCAAGCTTCCTTCAGTGTGGCTGTCAGTTGACTTCCTATTGCCTGCAAGATGTAGGATTCTCAGCTATTTCTCCAGTCCCATGTCTGCCTGTCTGCTGCCATGCTCCCCATCATGATGATAATAGACTGCACATCTGAAACTGTAAGCAAGCCATCTTCAATTAAATGTTTTCATTTATTTATTTATTTATTTATTTATTTATTTATTTATTTATTTATTTATTATTTATTTATTTTGGTTTTTCGAGACAGGGTTTCTCTTGTGTAGCTTTGCGCCTTTCCTGGAACTCACTTGGTAGTCCAGGCTGGCCTCGAACTCACAGAGATCCGCCTGTCTCTGCCTCCCGAGTGCTGGGATTAAAGGCGTGCGCCACCACCGCCCTGCTAAATGTTTTCATTTATAAGAGTTGCCATGGTCATGGTGTCTCCTCACAGAAATAAGAACCCTAAGACAGAGGTCTAGTGGATGAGTAGAAGTTAAGTAAGCACTGTTGAGGGACAGAAGAGTAAAGAGACTTGAGAACAAACATCTCTTCCCAGAGGTGAGCATGAAGAAAGGCTAAGATGAGGAACAGGAATGGGTGGGTGTGTGCACAGCCAGAGCAGATCAGTACCACTGAAGGGGAAAGTATAAAACAGGCAATGTTGAGGGTTTCCCAAGCTGCTTCTGCCATATTCAAAGGGTGAATTGTAGTCTGCCACCAATGAGAACCCTCAGAAGAGCATAAGTCATGGTATAATGGTCAAACTTGGCTTATAAAGTCCATACTATTTCAGTCACTTGGGGTATGACTCAAAGAAGCCCAGGATGGAGAAAGGGATGTCACTTTTTCTCTCATATATGAAATCTAGGTTTAAGTATACATACATATGCATACATATATGTGACATGAAAGCAGAATGGGGTATATCTGGAGAGAGAAAGGGGGCCAGTGAGAGGGGATAGGACAGACAGCAGAAGGTAGTCTCGGGGTGGGGGGAATAAATATGAGCAAGACACAATAATATATGTATGAAGATGTCAAAAGAAACCCACTATTTTATAGGCTAAGGAGTTAACTTTTACAATTCAAGGGTGGAGAGATTCATACAAACATTCTAGGACTGAGTGTTGATGATTCTAATTTGCTTTAAAATATTCCAATAGGAAAAAGACTGTAAAAATGTGTACTTGAGAAAGATTTCTACAATAATGGAAGCAAGAGCAGGTGACAGCCCAAGCTTGGAAAGTTCCTTCAGGGATGAAGAGAGAAAGGCAGAGTGGAGAAGTACTTGGGGGGGGGGGATAAAGAGCAGCATTGGAGGTTGATTGAGTATCTAAGATGCAGGACAGGGAGCTGTGAAGAAAAAATGCCTTGGTTGGCTGAGTGCTGAGGCTAGCGAAGGAGATGGGAAGTGTAAGAAACGGTTTAAACCTTAAGGAGAGATGTCTATCTCAACTCTAAGGCAGTGGGAAATCCTCTTGGAAGTATTCAGGAGTTAATCAATAGTCTTAATCTACCCACATCTCAGATCCAGATTTAGATGCTGTCGACTAAACTGTGCCTCACAAACCACCAAATTCATATGCCAAAGTCCTAACCTTAGGGCCTCAGATTGGAACTGTCTGCAAAGATCGTCTTTAGGGATGTAATTAAGGTAAAATAGAGTCACACTGATGGACCACAATTCAACTGTTTTAGTGTTCTTACAAAAAGAGAATAGGACACAGAACTAAGAATTCCCATGTGGGAAGCACTGCCCTCAGACTAGGCCAAGTGGCCTTGGGATCATTATCTCAGTTAACACTTTGATACTGGAATTCTCATTTCCAGAACTGTGAGAAATAAGTTTCCATTGCTCAGATCTATTTAGTGCATGGTGGGGTGTGGCTATTCCCAGCAAATGAAGGTGGGGAATCATTGTAGATAAGGTGGAAATGGAAACTACAAGTATACAAATACAGCCCAAGAAAGCAGCTATGAAGGAGGCAGAAAGGGACCAAGTGACTGGTGTCAGAGGAGCCATAGGAATAATCAACATTGTCAGGGACCGCAGACAAGCCCAGTCAGAGTGAATGAAATATAACTAACATGACACAGGTCATTGTACTGAAAGCAGTTCCTCCAGAATTATAGGGTTGAAATCCTTGTTCAGGTCTTGTTTGGGCAGCTATATTGTTGGGGTGTCATGGGAGAAACTTCCCTGCCATTTCTAGGAGACACACTTCCGCCACAGATTTTCTGATGCTCTGGCTCTGACAATCATTATGCCCGCTCTTCCAAGATGGTTCCCTGAGCCTTGGATGCAGAAGTTGTGTTGTGGCTGTATCCACTGGGGCTGGACACCCCCGATCATTTGTTCTCTGCATTTTCATCCGTTGTGGATTTCTGTAATTCTCCCCATCTATTATAAAGAGAAGCTTCTCATATGAGGGATGAAGACCACACTTAAGGATGCAAGTACAAGCCCTTAAGATGCAGTTAAGGATTATGCTGGCTTAGTGAGGTGGCAGTAGTAGGTTCTCCTCTAAGATCCATGACTTAATTAGTCCAGGGTAGTTGGCTAGGTTTCTAGCACTGGGCATGACTTCCCTCTTGTTGAGAGGGTCTTATGTCCAATTAGACGGCTGTTGGTTACTACCAAAACGTGAGTGCCACTATTGCATCTTTAGGGCTATCTTACCATTGCAGTCACTGTTGTACTTCATGGGCATCACAGCTGTATAGGACGATTGACTGCTTCCCTCCCATGGAAACTTGCTTAGTACCTTCTAGTACAATGAAAGCTAGTCCTTGGGGAGAAGGTTTTCTGGTCAGATCCAACTCAGATCCTCCAAATCCTGCATCCAATCTATTTCAATTTTTTTTTTTATTCTGGCTTCGGTACTGTTGTTTTCTATCTAAAAATGAGAATGAAAAAATATAATTTGTATTTACATTAGGCATTTGTTTTGTGTATTGTGTTAGTCCCTTCAAGCTGATATATGTGATGTAGCTGAAAGACATCACCTCCACCTCTTACTGTTCCGGGCACCAAAATGCACCATCGGTTTATTTCTGAGAAGCAATATAGCCACTAGATTCTGTAATGTGTCTCAAAGAAGCCTGGCACTGAACTATAGCTCCTTTAATTCTCCCAAAGAACAAGTACTATTCAGATCAACTTTGATGTTTTAAGTATTTCTGCTTCTTAGCCAAGAAAGGGAAAATACAGTTGGATGCTGATAAAATAATTTTAAGTACCAACTATCTAGGTAATCAGAAATGCAATGTCACACAAATATACAGAGAACATGTGAAAAAAAAACATAATGATAGAAATTAGCTTGATGCCACAGCTCCATGCTTTGTTATGAAGCTCCAGCAATTTATGGCACGAGCCTTATATTAGATTTTTGGATTAGAAGAAACAAACTTGCAGTTCATTATATTATACTGTAATATAGGGCTTAATAAGAGCCTGATAAATCTTCAGTATTGCATTACAGTGTGTTAATGATTATCATCATAGCTTTCCCAACATGGGCCCCGCAGTGTCATCACAGATTATAATTTAGGGGAAACATTAGCAATTCAGAGCCCATATACTGCAGTTATTAAAGCAGTGAGTAGAAATCAGCTTTCTAGGTAATTTACCAGCTAATGACAATCGTTTCTGTACTATGTCACAGACTCATATGAGAATAACTTTTTGTTTAAATAAGATTGATGCTCATAACATTCTTGTTCACCACAGCAACTCACCCGATACTGATGACTAATACTTCCTCTTAATAAATTAATTTATTGCCTGACAACACACACAAAAAAAAATATGGCATTTCATGTTTTTTTCACATCCCAGAGGTATTTAGCAAGTTTGTCAATTATAACAAAGAATCCAGATTGCTCTGGTAGTAAACAAAGTGATAGAGTGTGATTCGCAATTGGGTACCCTGTGTAAGTACTGCACGATTTATGACCCGCTCAGAGCACGGTGATACCGCTGTGTCTGATCGAGTGGCTTAGCAAAATAAAGACAGATGGCCTAGCAGTAAATAATTGCTTGATTGGAAGGCGAGGCTGCGGGACTGCTTCCTGCCTTCCATCCAGCTTGACTTCACCTGGGGATCAGCAACCGATTCATCTAAGCGTTTGTGGCTCCAAGTTGATGGACCAAGGAGAGAGTTATAATTTAATAATGAATAAAGAAAAAAAAGAGGCTGTAAAATGGAAGGGGAATATGACTGCCCTCTGGCTTTCTCTGCTCCTCCTTCTGCTGGCCTTAAGAGTCAAAGCAGATGGTGAATTATCAGCCCCTAAATGGCATCTTTTTTTTTAAAAAAAAAAGGCACATTAGAACACGAGGCCATTTTGGCAACTAAATGAATTTCAAAATGCAGTCTCTCTGATCGGTTACCCTGTGGTCAGTTTATGAAGCACTTAGGGAAAGTGGTAACCACTGTGCGAAGCAGTTGGGGTATCTGGGCTCACTAGAATTGTTTTGGGGTATGCAGGAAGGAAGTTATTCAAACCCTACTCTCAGCTGACAACCTAAAGGTCATCTACTTTCACCACTACAGCCTTGAGATTCTCTCAAAACCTATAAAAGCGAAGGGCAGACAGATATCATGATCAGGTCACTGAAGAATGAAAAAGAGCAAAGTTCTCAACCTGTGGGTCTTGACCCCCTTTCACAGGGGTTGCCTAAGACCATTGGAAAACACAGAGATTTATATTACCATTCATAACAGTAGCAAAATTACAGTTATGAAGTAGCAACGAAAATAATTTTATGGTTGTGGGTCACCACAACATGAGGAACTGTATTAAAGGGCCGGCAGCAGCATTAGGAAGGCTGAGAACCACTGGTAAAGGGTGTGGTGGTACATTCCTGTAATCCCAGCACTGACAAAGCTGAAGCAAGAAAATCAGGAGTTGAAAGCCAGCTTAGGCTACACAGTGATCATGAGGCTGGCGGAGGCTACAGAAGACTCAAAGACAGTGGTGCCATGGGCTGATGTTAGAACTGGAAGCAGAAGACCTGTGTTCCTAGCTATATGATCTTGGACAAATCCCTTGAACTGTCCAAGTTTCCTTTATAACAAAATGAGGACTAAAACAGCTCTCCCTGCACACCAGCCTCCAAAGCATGTGAAGACTCTGTCATTCCTGAATATTCAAAGTGTAGTTGTAGCTGAGCCCAGGAGCACAGGCCTGTAATCCCAGCACTAAGGGTGAAGAGGTAGAGATTCAAGACAGCCTCAGCTATATGAAGACTTCAGGCTAGAGAAGAAGACTAACCCTGTTTTTTTTTGTTTTGTTTTGTTTTGTTTTGTTTTTAAAAGACAGTAGTGATGTTGGTGGCTCTGGTATAGAATAAGTAATCTTTAATGTCAACCTCATGGCTCCCCTGAATCGCCCCCTCTTTGTGACTATGATTACTTTTGCAACTCAGCTGGCCAGTCTCCCTCTTAAACGTCTTGGCAAAGTCTACTCTCCCTTTCCGGTGCCAAGCAAGGTGTGCAGTGCACCAGACATAATATAAACCCAGATTATCCGAGGGGCACTTCTGTTTCACACTGCAATGGGAGAGCTGCAGTGTGGGGTCTTCATCATCTCCTGCAGAGTAAACGATGAGGAGTCATCGCTGATGAAGACTTGCAAGCCCACTGTGCAGCCGAGATGGTGCCACCTGTGGCCCTGAGACCCAAGACGGCTAAGCAAGCTGATTTTAGCCTTCAGAACAGATCTGACCAGCCCGTCTGCTCTACAAGGGAGCTAATGAATTTGAAGCATAGGAACTGGCTCCTGGGCCTGGGGTTCTGCAGTTTGCTTGTCCTGGATGGGCTGTGGTGGAACAAACTGCTGGAATCACTTGGGGTATGCTCAGCCAGCTGCCTCCTTTATGAAAGAGGATTTAAACTATCTTTGTTCAAGCAGAGCATCATTAGTAGCTGAACACAGGGTGTGTTAGAGCCTGTCAGAGGAAGAAAAGCGAGCTGCCCCCTCCTCTGGGCAGTCCTTACAGTTGCCTCCAAGTAATTCACAGCCAACCTCCTTCCTGGAAGAGGTCTGGAAGAGAATGTCCCAGCTGGAACTCTGAGGCAGCCTCCCATACAACCCAGGTCTTTAGAGCCCTCACTAAAATGACATGTTCCAGAACCATCACTGGGGGTGTGGTTTGGCTTGGCACCCTGTGCCTGCAAATGTTTTAGTTCATCTGATGAAGAGGCTGGCAGTTAATAGAAACAAATGTAATCATAAGTAGCCGCAAGGTCTTCATGCTGGGAAACACAGAGACTGACAGCCAAACTGACCTCTTTGTACTTGAGTCCTGGCCTTGCCCAATGATAGTCACGCAAATGATTTCACTTTTGTGAACCGTGGTTTCTTTAGCTACAAAGTGAAGAAAATCGTAGTAACCATCTCTGAGCTGTTCATCAAGGAATAAAACACAGCACCCAGAGAGTGTGCAATAAATGGTGTTAAAACAACTCCCGGCCTTCTCAAGATAGCTAGTTTGCTTTGCCTGAGAAGATCCATTACCAAAAGGAGCATAAATACCCTGCCTAATGAATACATTGCTGCTCTGTTCTTCCTGAAGCTCCAAGGCACACTGTTGTTGATTCTGCTTATGAAGCTCCTACGGTGGAAAAGGACAATGTTCTGATTTTCCATTCCACAGGAGGTCTGAGACATGGTGTAAATGACTGAAGTCACAGGAAGCCGGCTGCTGAGCTCCTCTGGGTTGTGGCCCCCACTGCAATGTAAATTGCCCTCACCTTTGAATATCAGGGCAGGCACAGACCGGCCTGATCTCTAATACCATCAGGCTCATTCCCAGCCTTCCTAGGGCCGCTCCTCATGAGAACCTTTGATGCTTTGGGGAGATCACATGGCTGATTTGACTCTAAATCTCACGCCACTGGCAGAAGATTAATTGCTAAGACCTGGAGAGGGGCCAGGTGGTTCTGTGTCGCTGGACAGATTTAGTTAAGGCAGAATTGTCCCTTCACAGATAGATAAGGCAATGGCTTCTGAGGGTTGACATTTACAGAAGCCCTGGCAGGGTTTTGTAACACTGAATCTGGGTTTTCTGCCCTCTCTCTCCCTGGAGCGGGGCTTATTTCCCAAGGCTGACTTCTCAGCGGGCAATGAGATTTAGAAAATCTGATGGAAGTTTGAGAATATGCCTGTTAGCACAGTGTAACCTCCCACTTGCTAAGGTCAAGGAGAGATTATATATTGAATTATGCTATATCAAGAGATGGGGAAAGAGGGGACAGAGAGAGAGAGAGAAGAGGGAGGAGATCAGCTGGGAATTTACCAACACTATCAGAACCCAGAAAAGCTAAAAGGCAGCCAGATGCAACATCAAAGCCTGGACAGTAGTCCTGAACCTTCTGGAGAAAATTTTGCACAGTTTGACTCTTGGTTTAGACTCAAGTGTTTCCAGTGACTTTTCAAGCCATCTGGACTCCGAAATCCTCCCAAGAAGCCTGGTCTTTGGCTCTTTGCCTTTGGTCACTCAGTCCGTAATGCTATTTTTTGTCCTGCTTGTTCACTAAAGAGACACAATTAGCGCTGGGTATTTTGTTCTCTGCATTTTGTATTCAAAGATCAGAGAAGCTTATTCTAAGATCTGATTATATTTCTGTAATCCGCCCCCATTCCTTTTGAGACAGAGTCTCACTGTAGCTTAGACTGGCATTAAACTCAGATGTGTAGCCAAGGACGACCTTGAATTCCTGGCCTTTCTGCCTCCACTTCCCCAGTGCTGGGATTACATGTGTACACCAGCATGCCCAGGTGTCTGTCTGTAATTCCTGCTCTTGGTTTTCTGTTTCCGTTCAGAGGCCTTGCTGTGTGGGATGCATGCCTAGCATGCATGCCCAGCATACTTTTGCAATATTGTTACTTCTGCTGGTTGAAAATCTTACCTGGTAACTTGATGGATAAGTCAGTGTTTAAGCAGTAACAGCATCTCACTAGGTCACGTTTTCTGGATGGTAGTATAAAGGTGTAAATAAGTAGTAGTCTTCAGCTGGATGTGGTGGCACACACCTCTAATCCCAGCACTTGGGAAACAGAAGCCGGAGGATCTCTGTGGGTTCAAGGACAGCATGGTCTACAAATCATGTCCCAGGACAGCCAGAGCTGTTACACAGAGAAACCCTGTCTTAGCCAAAAAAAAAAAAAAAAAAAAGCAGCTCTTCTTGCCCTCACAAATCAAAGTCCCGTGACGTCATGAACGGAGCTGTTTTTCTGAGCAGCTATTACTACTTTCTGAATACAATTTACTGAAAACATTACTCTTAATAATGACTGGGGAAAGAAAATCATACCATTGCATAGCCATCTTATTGCATAATTCTATGAAATGCTAGACGTATTTATGAGATTGCCCTAGAAACTGTGTTCCTCTGAGTGAAGTCGCTGTCCATGTCTACTCTCTTCAGATGAGCTGGAGAAACTGGAGCAGGAGAGACTGGCTTTGGAGGCGGCAATCAAAGACAACGAGCGTGAGGAGGGGAAGGGAGGTATACGAGGCTTGTTTCAGAAAGCGGGCAAGCTGAACATTACCAAGCCAGCCCCGAAAAAAGGTAAGCACTTGTCAATCCTAGGAGCAAGACTTCAAGATGAGCACAGAGCTGAACATCACAAAGAGGTCAGAAGAAACATCTAAGACACTGAGTCTGGGCAGGCACCGAAATCATGATGCACTCTACGGCACCTTACTGTAAAATAATAATAATAATAATAATAATAATAATAATAATAATAATAATAATAATAATATATTTTAAAGTAGTTGGACTGGGAGTTACCTAGTGTTTATGTCGACTGAGTGCCTCAAAATAGAAATGTCTGCTGAGATGGAGGAATAGAAAATTAAGAACTAATAATACCCATCACTTTTATCTATACAATCCTTACCTTGCAGACATGTCAGGGGCATACAGTTGGCTGGTGCACTAGGCAAATGGGATACAGCTAGAAACCTATTTCCGGAAAGGCATCCTTATAACTGACCAGAATGAGAGAGCGGGTGGTTCATTGACACTAATTACTTCCTGTAGTTTCGGTCTAGTGTAAATTTATCTCTGCATGTCTGGAAGACATCCCGGGGACAGAGGATCAAACATGAGAGAATTTGTTTAAAGTTATAGAAATGGGAGATTTTTTTTTTTTTTAGTTTATTTACTTTTGAAAATTGCCTTCTTTCCTAAATAAGTCTAAGTTTGAATTTAATGAGGTCCACAGTGGCCTCTGCTGGTAGAAAATCAGAATACAGAGAACCCCTGAGACTGTCACACGCTGGTGTGAGACTAGAAACTGGTTCATTGTTAGTCCAGTGGCAGGATCCAAATGGAAGCTTTGCCAGCTCCTGGTCTAGGGTGACAGCCAGCACTGAAAAGACCACGCCCTAACTGTAAATAGTTCAACGCTGTTGGCTTGTTCTAGTGTGTGTAGCCAGCCCAAGGTGGAAAATGTACCTGGAATATGAGAATGACAGGTAACACAATTTGTATGCTGCAGGCTATGGGAAGCTTAATATTTCCCACCAAGTTTTTTCAATGATTAATTTTTAATTTATGTGTATGTACAAGTTCCAAGAGGACACCAGATACCCTAGAGCCCCAGCTAGTTAGTATACAAGCTACTTGACATGGATGGGTACATGGCTGCTGAGAACCGAACTTTCATCCTTTGGAAGAGCAGCAAGCACTCCTAACTTCTGAGCCATGTCTCCAGCCCCTTCCCATGCACTTTGAAATATCATTTCCCTCCCAGCGTGGTGGTGCACGCCTTTAATCCTAGCACTCGGGAGGCAGAGGCAGGCACATCTCTGTGAGTTCGAGTACAGCCTGGTCTACAGAGTGAGATCTAAGATATCCAGAGCTACATAAAGAGATCCTGCCTCAATACATATATACATATGTACATAGATACATAGATACATAGATACATACATACATACATACATACATACATACTTTCCCATGAGGATTATATGTTTGAATCTGAAGTCAGAATTGGTATAAAATCATTAACAAGGGGCCTGTGAAATGACTCAGCAGGATAAAGTGCTTACCACCAGGCCTGATGACCTGAGTTTGTCCCTGGAACCCATAGGGTGAAAGGAGAAAACTGATTCCCCCAAGTTGTCCTCTGACCTCCATGTGCATGCCACGGCACACATGTACAAACTAAATAAATGTTTAAAATTTTTAATTAGCAATAAGACTTGAAAAAAAAACATTTCCTTTTCCATTGTTGGTTTATTTGCAATATCAGTCTCTATGAAGTGGCATGGCCTGAGAAAGCTGCAAAAAGTTCAGAGCCAAAGCTCAGCCCTTTCCTCTTTCTAACCCGGAGGGGGAAGCCTTGGCCCACGTCGTTCCTGTAAGCAAGGCTCGTTCCTTCTGGACGTCTACTTCTCTGTCACAGCTCTTGTTTTAGTAAAAACGCACTTTTCCCAATGTCAACCTGCCGTGGTGTTCAGAAAAACAAAACCATAATGCTGTGTACTTTTAATACCTAGGAGTTCAAACACCGCTCTACAGGGAGCCTCCAGCACCCTGGGCTCCAGGTGGTGACAACTCTTTGGAGCTCTAGATCAAGCCCAAACCTGCAGGCTCTCCTAATGATTCTTCCAGGTCCTTTGATTTGCATGGACGGAAGGGCAGAGTTTGGTCCATTCTACAAATAAATTTACTTTCTCTCTCGGCAGTCCTAAGGATATAAAAACAATATGTGATCGTTGCGTTAGAACTGGCAGGCCCAGAACACAGCAACAGAGGAAACAGAACAAAGCATCTTCAGAACCCTCTAGATCAGAGAGGAAGCTCTGAAGAGGCTGTCAGCGCGGCTCTAAGCATTGCCCCAACACTGCCTCTTTGCATTAGAGCCGCGAAGTACAGCGTCTCAAAGGCAAGGAAATTAGAAATAATATAGACGGTGTGCCAAAGAAACCCGGCAACAGGAGCTTCCATAGGAAGTAGGCCTGCTTCCCCAGACACGGCTCCACTGTACCCATGTCAGAGTCAAAAACTATTAAACATGGGGCTGGAGAGATGACTCAGTGGTTATAAGCCCTGGCTGCTCTTCCAGAGGATGCAAATCCAATTCCTAGCACCCACGTGGCAGCTCACAACTGTAAACTCCAGTTCCAGGGGATGTGACATCCTCTTCTCAATTCCGAGGGCACAGCGCATGCACATATGTAAAACACCCATACACATAAATATTAATAGATCTGGGGCTGGAAAGATGGCTCCGCAGTTAAGAGCAATCACGGCTCTTCCAGAGGACATGAGTTCAAGTCCCAGCACATACACACACACACACACACACACACACACACACACACACACACACATCCCATGGCTCACAACCTATAATCCCAGCTCTGAGGAGTCAATACCTCTGACCTATGTGGCACCTGCACTCACATAGTGCACATAGTGTACATGTTTACACACACATACACACACACACACACACACACACACACATACGTAAAATAATACAAATAATTTTAAACCAAGTCATAGTTTAAAGACATATTACTCATGTCACGTCTAATATTATATATGCATCTATCCTTAATTAAAACTCAAAGCAGTTTTTAATCTCTACGTGTCCTAGATTTTTTCATATCATTCACAAAAATTCGTACAGCTCAGAAGCTTTTGCTTTAGCTTCATTCACAGAACTCCTGAAAAAGAAACAGATGTGATCTGGGATTACAGAGATCTGTAAGCCAGGCCTTTGTGGAGCTCAGGACAACACTGTGCTCAGATGGGTGAACTCTCCAACAAAAGGATGGTTATTTTTAATGTGTGTGTAAATGTGTACGTGTGTGTGTGTGTGTGTGTGTGTGTGTGTGTGTGTGTGTGTAGGTGAACATTGCACGTGTGTATGGAGGCCAGAGATCATCAGCCTTAGGCACCATCCCCAGGAAAGCCATCCATCCACTTGGAGGCAGGGCCTCTCGTTGGCCTGGAATTCTCCAAGCAAGGCAGGCTGCTTGGCCAATGAGACCCCAGAATCCACCTCTCTCTACCTCGCCAGGGCTGCGGTGGGGCGTGCACGTACGCACAGACACATACACACACACACACACACACACACACACACGCACGCACGCACGCACGCACGCACGCACGCACGCACGCGCGCACACACACACACGCATGCATGCATGCACACCACCACTCATGTCCTGTTTTCACGGGTTCTTTAAAGCCAGCACTTTGGCACCTAAGTGACCTTCCCAGTCCCCTACTCCTGATCTCCAGAAAATTCAGTCACCACATGTTCTGATTGAAAGTAAACATTTGTTCTGTTCTAAAATTTCAGAAGGTTGGGGATCTATTGAGTATTGTCACAGGCTGCATTCGTAATTGGAGCCTAACATCCCACATCCAGGCTACAACATCCCACAGGAAAGCTGCTTGTGCAGCCTCTTCTTCTAAAAAGAACGTTTTTACTAACACATACAGAATTGGGTTTCATTATAGCGTTTTTTCAAACAGACTTTGTTTGTACTGTTTCTCTCCCACTCTGTCCTCCCCTCTCCTGGACCCTCCCCTTCCCCATAGCCTTCTTCCCACATGCCTGTCACATGTGGCACTGTCCCCCCGCCTCACACACACACTCCAAACCATCCCCATAGACACACACTGCTTATCCTTTCTTTCATGGTCTCCTGACTGAAAACAAGACAGAATAAAGATCACCTTGAAGGAGGAAAGATTTCCAACGGCTCATGATTTCAGAGTTTTCACCCTCAGAGTAGAGATGACGAGGACCACTGTGGCTTCATCTCTGGCGGCAGACGCTCAAGGCTGATGCTCGTCACATCAGGGCACACCAGAAAGTACACAGGCCCCACAGCAGGAGCCAGGCTGTAACCTTCTACGGCCTGCCCCACACTGAACTACTTCCCCCAACTGTGCTGAGCCCCCCTAAAAGCTCCTCAACCTAAATAGCACCATCGGCTGAGTGTAGCTTGAGTTTTCCTGCTTTGCCCACAGTCAGGACAAATCTTTGTC